AGATTTGCATCTGAATTGGATGCACAAGTGCAATTTATCAATAAACTTTTCTGAAACTTTCTTCAGTTGCAATGGATTTCAGTAACACTCATTTTGATAAAAATCATTATCTATTCGCGAAATATTATTAGTTTGTCGATTGTCTTATGTTGGATGACATCGAGAAGTTTCTTTGATTTGATTCTGCATTTCATGAATTTCATCATTTCTCTTCTAAGCCCATTTTCGAACCCTGAAGTGATAGCTTTGCTTCCATCAAAATTGAAGAAAAGAGGACTGGCACCAATTGACTCGATTCGAATTCGAACAAAAATTCAAAAGGTTATTAACGATTTAAAACCGTGTAAACAACTGTTACAGTTTGTATAAAAGTCGATCGAAGTTTAACCTGTGTTTGCCGATCATTCGATTGAAAGGCGTCGTTTTATTGCCTTCTCACGCATCGATTTCTACTGATGATAATGAACTCGCCTGCTAACAGAATTTCATATAATTTTGCTTTATTTCAAGAGCATCGAAGTGCTGATTTGAAAGGTTTTTTTCTTGTGTTACAGCATAGAAACTGTCATGCAACTCGGTGTCTTGACATTTTAAGCAACCCTAACTTTAGGCCAATTTGATTCATTCGTCTGTTGTTATTTTTAACATTCAATCTGACTGGATGAGATTAGTTTTTCCTATCAATTTACATGCACTTGATTGTTTGGTTTTTTGAGTGTAAAATGTCAAGTGTTAAAATATAGTCTAAACAGTGTTTCCCATTAACACATGTACTCACTGCAACCCAATCCGACCTCACAAGTATAACCGGGAGAAGAAGAGGAAAAAGCTAAGCAATTTCAGAATGTAAAAGTTCATCACTGTTGATGCACATTTTCAAGTCTAATCCGAAGTTAAATTTTCATGAAACTGAGTTAAGCCATTTTCCAAACCAGATTAACATATTTTTCTTGCACTTTTGAAGGAACCAAATATTTGCCAAATTATTGTTCTGTTATGCATTTAACTTTAACCAAATTAGACTGAACAAGCAACAACTATTGTATTCAAGTTTAAAGGCAAGTTAAAGCAATGAAACGATGAGAATCAGTCTCAGGTAAAATCAGTTGAAGGTCAATTTCTAGATCAATATCAATCATAACCAACTTTGAAACTGCAAATTCAGCTAAAGAAGATGCATTCATTTTATGCATTTCCCTGAAAATGTTTCAAGTGAAGAGAAGAAGAGAAAAAAATTTCATTAAAAAAGAAACTTGAAGATGAAATATTTACCTACTTATGGTTTCACTTTCAAGCCAAATTTGCTGAATGAAAAGAGTTGAACATTTTGAAACTCATGAAGCGCAAAAATGTAACCTTTATCAATCACATTTTGGTTGATTAAAGTTTACGATTGGCTAAGAAAATGTTGAAAAGAGAGGGAAAAAAGGTTTCATTTGTCGTTTGGAAGAATGTTAAATGTTGATAATTAACGGTTAATTGAGAATACAAATTGAAATGTATCTTAATGAAGATGTATCAGTTGGTCTGGGTTGAGTGAACATTTTTGTTGAAAATGCTTGATGAAGATGAAGAGAAATGTTTAAAAAAAGATTTTGTTGATTGAGCAAATAAAATGTCATTACAAGTTTTTGAATGATAATTATAATTATTATGATAATAATGATAATAATCATGGGATGGATTTCAAGCTTTGAATGAATGGAGAGAGGGGAAAAAGTTCAAATTTAATTACAATTGCGTACAAAATGAAACAACAAACATTGATAAGTACATTAAGCACTTGGATTAAGTTTTAATTTCAATGAACACGTTTAACCTTTTAATTAAAGATAACTTTTCCAATGAAATGGTGAAGCTCAACTTTTTACACCAAATTGTTATAGATTGAACATTTGACAGAATAGTCAAAAATTTTGAAAACAGGGGAATGATGATGAATAGAAAAAAGATGAAAATGGAAAGAAGAAAAGTTGTCGAATGAAAATTGTCTAAATTAATGTAATTAGTTTAATCTGAATTTATGATTATTAGGTGATAAGGGAAGATGATGATAGCTATGGTGAACAGGGAATGATGATAAATGTTGAAAATGATAAAATTCCTAAGCAGAGAAAAATGATAATGAAGATGAAAATTAAGATGATAAAGATAAGAAGAAAGATGTAAATGAAAATAAGAACAAGAATTTAGTTGAATATGAAAATGTGGCGACTTAAAAAGAGACTCTTCTAAAGCTTCAGTTGATGGGACAAGAGTCACTTTCCTGGGTTGAGCAACTAAAGACTAATAGCTAGACTCGACTGGCTAAAAATACGCTTGATGAGACGAACGATAGAAATGAATTATTTGTAGAGAAATTTTGACCTTAATTTCAACCCTCATTTGATGAAACAAGAATAACTTTGTTAGATTCAAAAGTCAAAAATTCCCTTTTAACCTTCCTCGAGCTTTCAAATGAGAAAATTTTGACTCTGAATTTTGACTTTAAATTAATTTCTTTTCAAAAATCCGTGTCTTGGTTTGAGATCCGTACTAGGAAAGTGGAGAAAAGGCAAAATGAGAAAATCGATGAATGATGAAAATAATCGAAAATTTTTCATTCTTTCATTCATAAGTTCGAAACCTGTTCTATTGTTCTACTGGATTGAGATAAAAGTTCAGAAAAGAAAGAGGAAAAATGATGGAAAATTTTGTTTCTAAAACATCAGGGTTCAAAAACGTATAAAAAGTTGAAAAAGAAAAAGGCAAGAAAAGAAAAATTGATCGAGAATTTTTTCCAAGATTCGTTTCAACACAGTTTGAATAAGTTTAATTTCATTCGAATTCGAATCGAATATCTGACCTTTCGTTGAGATTCACTCTTTTATTTTCCTTCAACTCGAAACTTATTTGAAGAAAAACATTGTTTTCGATTCACCAAACAGGAATGCAATCCTGAAAAAGGTTAACCTTCTATTATGATTCGTAATTCAATGTTGAACTCAAAGTAAACTCATCTTATAACCTACTCAGACCCAGATAATGAATAAAAATTTCTTCATGTTTAATGAAATGATAATGATTGATAAGAATGTGGATAAACTTTTCATGAATTTCATCGAAGTTGTGTTTCAGAGAAAAAAAAATTTGAATAAACATTCTTTCCATTTGAATATTGAAAATTTGGTAAAATTGTAAATTAAAAGTTGTGTTATTTCACCATACATCATCCTCTATCATCACCTTATTATAAACTGATTAATTCAAAATCACATTTTATTACGAAAACATGAAAATCCAAATTGGATATAAATAAATGCAAATGAAAGGCACAAAGTTTCAACTTTAGTCTTAACGTGATGATAATTTCAATGCTAATAATAGTTGTATCGATATTTTGCATTTTGTGTTCAACATTTTTGATAACATTTGTTGACTGCAATTTCACCAACACAATAAAGTGAGATAAACAAAAAAGTTATTCAATCAAAGCTTTTATCTTATTGGTTCAGTTTTTTTCCCATTTTTTATTGTTACAATTACAATGCATATATAACATTAACGTGATATATTTTTGTTTTACTGTTTAACAGGTAACTTTCAATGTACATTGTGTGTGTGTGTGTTTGCATCAATTGGATAAAGTGTTGATTTGACTTTACCATTTTCACACGTTTTCTATGAGTTTGCAACTTTTTTCCGTAGTAATGTTAATAATGTATAATGATGATAACATTTGCACAATCAATTGAAAAATTTGTTTCTCGGACTCAGTTTGTGTTCAGCTTTTGTTGATTCAAACCAATTTGTTGACCTTTTTGTTACCTTACAAAATATCATTTTCAACAAACAAACTTGTACATTTCACTGCCTTTAATTGCAAAAATACATTTGAAAGTTGCAATAAAAAGCGAAATTCTGTAAACATCATTTTTCGATTTTTAAGTTCAACATTTTTTGGTTTCTTTTTAACCAATCGATTGAAACGACGGTGGATCTTAAAGACTTTTGTAAGAAATGTTTGAAAAACTTTCTCGATTGGAATTGAAATTTTTACGAGAAACAAAATTTCGGTTCAATAACTAGAAGTTCATTTAGAAATTTCGATTTAAGATGAAATTCTGAAAAAAATTTTCTTTCGTCGAATATTCGATTCAACTGATTTTATGACTTTTTATTGTAAACTTAATTTTCAAAGTTTTGTTGCAATGAAAAGCGGAGTTTCCGTGAACATTTTTTTTCAATTTTTAAGTTTGAGATTTACTCTTATTGATCGAATCGACATTGAACCTTTTCAGCTCTGATGAAGAATTTTTTCTTAATTAGAATAGAAATATTTACGAAAAACAAAATCTTGACTCAAGTCGAGATTCGAAGCGAAAAATTCAAGTTTCGATTTTTGATGAAGTTCTGCCAATCTCTGTTTTCATGATAATAATCAATTCCAACTGATAATGATATTCAAGTAGAGCTTGAAAAAGTATAAAACTGATTGACAGTCGAACGAACCATTTCAACAGAATTATTTCCTTCCTTTTACCTGAATGTTAATTTACCAATTTGCAACATTTTGTTTGATATTTTGTCGCCAATAATAAATGAATGAAAGAATGAAAAAAAATGTTAAAAAAGGAGCGAAAAAAATAATTTCTCTTTGCAGTTGATCATTACAACGGTTAACGATTATCTTTAGAGGATAAAAGTTGAAGATGAATGCATTTCCATCTCATGATAATGCAACACAAAAAAGTGATTAAAAAGAGATGAAAAATGTGGAAACTTTTTTGTTGCTCGTTTCATTAAACAGAGGGAAAACAGAAGATGAAAAGAACGATGTTAATTACGATTAATGTTGAATAATGATGAACCCGAATGAAGATTACAAGTATTGGTAAAGATCGTCAGGTGACGCTGTAATAATCATGAAAAGTCTCAGAATTTTGTCTTTCATTCTATCATTGAATATGCGTAGACACAAACAAAAGTAAACCTAAATCTCTCTTTGGTTTCCCTCAACTCACTCAGTAGATTCCCTCTGTAACTGCATCTTTAGCCTCTTCTTCATCGCCGTCTTTTCTTTCCTCTTCTTCTTCTTTCTTCTTTTCTCTTCTTTTCTCTCTCTTTCTCTCACTTCACCATCATTATCATCCTCATTTCATTCTGAATGATTCTGTCATGCAAGTTATCATATAATTATTATTACTACAACTACAACTAAGTGTCTCTCTCTTTCAGTGTTGGTTAAAAGAAGGCAAAAAAAGAGTTCAAAGAAGATACAAAACCAGGATTTTTTTTCTACTTTTTTCCTTTTTCTCTCTTCCTTTAGTTTTTTGTTGTTGTTGTTGATTAGTTCTGTCAATATCATCATCATCATTGTATAATTAATACCATTCATCGGCCGATTCATCAGCAAAGTCAACAAAAGTAATCATCTCAATTGAATGCGAAAAGTTTAACCAGAAAAAATTCATCCATTATTTTGTGATCAAATTTGTATCTTCCAAGTGAAGTTCAAGTGAAAGTTTTTTTGCTTTTATCGCTTTTTTGCTTATCTTTTTTGTCAGCTTGAAAAATTTAAGAAAAAAATATTTATCCAAATTTTTCAAGAAAATTATTCAATTTCCAACCTCAACTGGGATAATACAACACCAACAGCAATAACACAAGCAAACACACACACGTAATCATCAATCAAATTCAAGCCAAATTAAGGAGTTTATTATTATTCTATTATCTTTTTATTATTAATCATGGAAACTGAAACCAAAATGGAAACTGAATCTACCAAAATGGACTCAGAAACTAAAATGTTCATCGGAGGCCTTAGTTGGCAAACTGCTCCAGGTAAGGCGTTTAATTAACGTAAAAACTCAATCTTTGCTCGTCAAACTTTCCAAGTCAAGTTGAGAAGAAAAGACCAAAAAATCGAAAAGTTTTCAGCGGAAATTGTGAAAAATTTGAGTTTCCAAGTGAAGTGTTTAAAGCAAAAAGTTTGAAATTTTCGTTGAAGAAGATTTAGAAATAGTTCGAAAAAGAAAATGGAAATTCTGAAATTCCATGGAAATGGTGTGAACGGAAAATTGTGAAGAAAAGAAAACGAATTTTTCGGTGAAAGTGTTTCGATGAAAAGTTGAAGATTCAAATTCGATAGTTGATTGGAAAAATGTTTTCTCATAGAAATGATTGAAAGTTGGAAAATTGAAATTCTAGTGATCGGAATGAATTGATTGGAAAATGTGATGAAAAGTCAATTGTTGAATAAGAAATTTTGTTGAAACCGAATGCCATGTGAATGTTCAATTGAATGAAAAGTTGAGTGATTTTGAAATCGTTAGAATTGAATTTTATGGTAAGAAACAAAAAAATAAAAAAAACTCATAACTCACTTTAACCTTCTTAACGTCGTTCATTAATGTAATAAAAATTTGCCTCGATTTTTATTATTGTCATTAGGAGATAAAAAGTTTGAGATAAAAATACAAAATGAAAAAAAACATCATGTAAGGTCATGAATCCTTCAAGTGAGACATAAATGTTGATCAACTGAAAAATTAACGATCGTTGATTAGAAGGTGAAGGAAATAAAAGAAAGTCAATTTTTTCCGTTTACAAGCAAATTAATCCATCAACATTGTTAATCCAATTTTAAACAGTTTGATTGATTAACCGATAAACTGACCATTAAAAGGTAAACAATTTTGATCTTTTTTTTGACGAGCAAACATTGAAAAGTCTTCTCATGAATCTGAGTCAAGTTGATCCAGTTGAGACAAAAGTGTTAACCTTTCTGTGTTTTCCTATTTTCTGTGATTTGTGTTCAACAACAATTTCGGATTCATCTTGTTCATCATGTTCATCAACAATCAGAAAGTCTTAAAGAGTATTTTAGCAAATTTGGAAACATAACTGAAGTTATGGTGATGAAAGATCCAACAACTAGAAGATCAAGGTAAGTGAATTTTCATTTGTTCACAATTGATTAAAGAGAAGAATTTCGATTTTTTATCATTTTCGATTTCGATCATTCGAATGAGGTTGAACGTTTAATGAACAGTTGAGATAATTACACTGGACATGGATGTTCAATCAGCTATGGTTTAGTGAATATGACATGGAATGATCAAGTGAGCCATGATGAATTGAACTTTCCAATTGTTATCTTCTCTTCTTGGGATTCATATTTTGAATTATCACTTTTGCTTACCTTTTTAATCTGACGACTAAACCATCATCATCATTATGATTATCATTTATTGTTATTCTGAACATGATTTAGGCGAAGCTTAATAAGTGTTCAATAGAAACAATAATTTATACGTTTCCATGATCCAAGTATTAAAAAGGAAAGGCAACAACTCTTGATTAACGTTTGCTCATCTTCTGAGCAAAAGAGATTAACCAATGACCTTGCTCTTGTTCATCATCATCTTTTACCCTGTTCATGATGAACACTATCATTCGACTTGCAAATCATTAACAGAATGAGGGTTGAGAATTGTTGCCAAAAAATGCTTTTCTTCTTCCCTTTCCTTTCCAAAGATGATCTCGTTGTGTTTATCAAACAGTTTTGTCTTTTGCTCATTGAAAAAAAGCCTTTTCTTGCAAACTCTCTGTTGCTTCATCTTTATCTTCATGAAATTTTTCTCTCTCCATTCCATCTTTCCTTTCTTCCTCAATCATGCTCCATTTATCTACTTGCAAAACTGTGAATCACTATCAATGAATCGTCTCACACAATAATCATCCCAAGTTGAGCCAAAGCGCAAAGTTGAACCAAACAACAGAAGAGAAGAAAAATCAATTGAACAAGAAATTAAGAAGCAAGAGAATGATGATAACAGAGTAACAGTATTTACCATTGTAGGCACTGTAAATGATGATGATAGAAGATGAATATGACAGAAACAAATTCTTTATTCATTAATCTAATATGAGAATGAAAATTGAATCTATTGAAGTTGAAGCAAAAAGAAGAAGAAAAAGAAGGAGAAAAAAGCAAAGCTTTACAAAAAAAAAGAAGCTTCTTCTTTCAACAATAAAATTCTGAAATTGAACTTTTTTCTTCTCCTTTTGTATTTAATGAAACTGATGATACTGATAACTGTTGTTATTAGTCATTATTAAACTTGCTCGACTTTCTGTTTGTTTCCCAGTTTCTTTGGTAAAAAAAAGTTCATCCAAATGAAATCGCTTCAATCGTAGAAATGAAAATTCTTTTTGCCCAAAATTCAGTTCCAACTCCCAGGAAATAATCTGCCCAACAGAGTGAATAATTGATAGGAAAAAAGGATTTCCGGAAATGAAGATTGAAATTATTCTCTCAATAATTAACATTTGATTGGAAATGCAAAGTTTCCAATTTTATCAATTTTTCGCAAATTTCGCCTTCCATTCAGAACTAGTGATGAAAATTAATATCTCGTTATTTGATATTTGCAATAGTAATAATAAATTACTTGAAAAAACGGTTCACTGAATAGTAATTGATGCTTGTCAGATAAATGTTATATAAATATAAATGCATTTAGATGAATCAATCATAATCACAATCAAGGTATTAATTTTCATTCATTTTTCATTTTTTTCTGTGTGTTTGCGATTTTCCAATGTTGGTCAAAGAAGAGGAAAAGATTGGGAAAATCGTTGAACAAATGTTCAGAAATGATGCTAATTTTGGCTTCCATTTGGTAAACAATTGTAATGAAAAATTGTTATTACCAATTCCAATGACCATTGCTTTTATTCATTTCCTTACAATGTTGCAAGTTGACCAACTACTTCAACTGAACCCAACAGTCTCAACAGTTTTTGGCTTGTTATTGCTTCTTTCAATGGTTGCTTGGGACAAGACGAGTGTACCTGTACTCGGGTCTGGTCACTTGTACTGCTGCTGCAAGGTTCAACTGATGATGAAATTTTGAGTCAACTTTATCTCATGCAGAGTATCATCAAATAATTGCGACAATTTAGGTTGGCAAATTTCGATATCACTTAATCCACTTGAGAGACGAAAAGTCTTCTTGTTTCTTCTGCTTCCATTTCACCGATATTTACTTTCCACTTTTCATTCACTTTTATCAGTTTCCTATTCAACCAACAATGCAACTCAAGTGGAGGCTCAAATTAATGACTTGCGGCTTGCTTCGATTATCTAATGATTTCAACTTGCAACAGTCTCCCAGATGCAAAGTTCATTATCAGTTCACATTTTACCATTTCTAATGAAGACATGACACTTGGAGACTTTTTCCGTTTCAGGAGTTTCGAGTTTTCGAGGAACCTTGAAACATTTTACAGTAACCTTGCCTTGATTCACATTCATAAACAGTACCATCAAGTGGCGTGGGTTGATTACTAATTATGTTGATTAATAAAGCCAACAATCTTTGCGTTCTTTGCAAAGAGTCCAAATTGCTTGGAATGGATTTTTCTTTCAACTCTTTATTCGTTTCAGAACTTTTCTCTTTTCTATTCAATCAGTGCAACACTGACTTTTTCTTGGATTTTGAATCTCTTTTTGTCGAAATTCCGACGTTTTGTTCAGAATCGAATTTTATTTAATCTTTTTTTTATGTAATTTTCTTCAACGAAAATGATTATTTCATGCAAGATTATGTAAGCATTGACGCATGTAAAATTAGATGTTTGATATTAATTGTGAATGTTGAATTAGCATAATTGTATTGAAGTTGATTCCAAATCAAGGTGATTGTTGAGGTAAAGTAAGAAACAAAAGAACATTAAAAGTAAATTTGATTAAAGCTGCCAAGTCTCTGGATGCTCATTGATGAGCTTCAAATTTGGAGCAAATTTCGCCTAATCTCATATTTGAGGAAAGCTAATCCAGTTTACAAAGTCAAGGTTACAGCTGATGAAATGTTGAACAGCCATTGAGGTTGCGCTACTGGTGAATGAGACACGTTTTTGTGAGATTCAAGTGAAGCCAAAAAGAGCTTAAAATGTTAACCTAAAAGTCAAACTGTTCAAGTCAAGCTTGAGTAAATAGTCAGGCCTTTGAGAGTGTAAACTGAAAAAAAAGACTGACAAAGAATCGCTCAAACAGAATGCTTAAAATGAAAATTATTTTTAGTTGAAAATGAAAATCTTTGATATTCCATGCTCTTGAATATCCGATTGAAGCATGATTAATGATTAAAGTTTAAATTAAAGTTCAACTTTTCATGGAAACCCAAATCTTCAATTTTTTTTCTTCTCCTCAACATAAAATTCCATTTGACCAATTTTAACATATTTTCGGTTGAAAAGGAAAATCCTTTTAGGTGTTTCAGAATATATATTCATGGAAATGACTGAAGCAAAAAGTAAAGTTGCAATAACAGTTGAAGTGTTTCCAGGTTTAACTCATTGAAAAAGGGTGCTTAATGTCTAGTGATTCTGGTCAAGATTGACCATTTACATGATGAAAAGGTTAACGATAAAAGTATTTCTAATGGTTTGTACATTTACAGTTGAATCCTCGAACACAATGTTTGCCGAGCTCGGTGTTACCTGATATTGAAAGTTTAGGAAAAAAAAGAGATTGAACTTTACAAATGAAGAGAGAAAAAATGAAAAATTGTTGATAAAAATAAGTGTTTTTACCCTTTTTTCGCTGTTCAACATAATTCAATCATCTTTTCCTTTCCCTGAATCTTTCATCCTTGTTAAAGTATTTTCATTTCTTATTACGTTCCTCTTTACCATTCTCATTGCCTTCATTATCATCAACAGCATTTGCTTTTCTCTCTTCATTTCCATTTCTTATCCCTTTGCTTACCTTTCACTTACCTTTCACTTTCATCTTCAGTCTGCATCATCTTGTTCACGGATCACAAAGTTTCAAGAATAAAAGGAAATTGCTTCTCTCCAAGCATAACTTATTTTCCACCATTTTATTCAGATAATCTTGTATCATCAGAATATAATAACTTTTACAATCCTTTACTTATTCATTATCATTTCTCATCATCATCTTCAAGTCTAGACAATCTTGAAAGCTGAAGAAGAAGGAGGAAGAAGAAAACTGAAAATGTGTCTTCAAATTAAACTGATCAACTCTTTTTGTTTCCAACCTTTCGTTTCCAATTGAAACTTGTAAAGTGATTCCAATTGATAGAAATGAGCGAAACGATTCAGTTATTGAATTTGATGGTGACAATGTTTTTTCATGGAGAAATGGGAAAGGACGAAGAAGAAAAGAGAATCGAAAGAAAGTAACACTTCTTTTTGACATTCTATAAGGTTAACTGAGAACTGTAAACATAATATACGAAAGAGAATCCAATTTAAGAATAAGAAATTGAAGGAAGAGAATGATGAAGATGAGGATAAGAATGGTGAACATGAAGAAATGTGAAAAAAAGGGAAAATGAAAGCTGGGAAAAACAAGGTTTTATCGATCTTGACAATCTTCTTGTTTTTCTTGCTCACATTTTCTTCCATTTCTTGCAATATCATCATCATCTCTCCATCCTTTTCTTCTTCCAGATATTTTCTTCTCTTCTTTCTTCCTCTCTCTCTCTTCAGAATTGAACAAGTTAAACTGACATTAGATGAAGAAAAGAAATCGTTTGATGGATAAATATATATTGTATATTCTGATTTGCTACGAATTGTTGACTATGGAAAATGTTGAAAGAAGAAGTGAAAAATTATTCCAAGTTGCTGTTCAGTTTTAACATGTAACACAGAGAACAGAGTATCGATTTGTGGCTATTTAATTGTAAAGAAATGCTAAGCAACCAAAAAGTCATCATGAAAGAAGAATCAAGATACAAATGATGAAGGAAAAGTGAACAATGAATGAGGAAAAGGTAAACTTTAAGTTTAACATAATTTTCCTATCTATTTATTGAGACAATAAATTAGTTGGAAATAGTTTTTTGTGCTAAAAAAAGTTTTCATTTGAAGGGAAAAATTATTGTAATGAGAAAACATTTGCAACTTTAGTCTGACAAGGGAAGCAATCGTAATGCCTAAAACCGATTTGAAAGGTCATTCGATGAAGCATGTTGAGTTTTGACAAAAACTTATTGGGTTTCCTCTGTATGGTGAGTGGTTCCTCAGATATTGGGTTTAAAATTTGATTATAATCATATTCAAAAATCGCAAAGTGAATTGAGTGTCAGCTCAGTAAATAAAGTTGTAAGGTTAACTGTAAAGCTTCTGAGTCGAGTCTCAATGTTGTAATAAATATCACTTCATTACTGTAATCATATAACAACAATCTTATGGTATTTAGGATGAGCACGTCATCGAGATGTTATTGCAGTACGCCAAGCATCGATGCAGAGGCATCGATGGAAGACTAGACTGACACCACCATTGGTCCAGTCTTTTATACGACCGAACAGCCTCGAGTTTGACTGTTGGAAATAACTTCAACAAACTAACCGATGGAAATAATTTTCCATTAAATTAACTAAAATTTAGTTGAATTAACAATTGGATAAGCACTAAGTCCAATTGACGAAACACCAGTTACATTCATTTTCAAGTTACCACTTTGGAGTCGAAATTCAACTCCTCTCAATTATCCTTTAGTTGAAACAAAGAGTTTGTTTTACCCTTCTGACCATTGTTAAGAATAAGAAATGTATTTTTCAAGACAGGGAAATAGACAGAATAAAGAAAGAGGAGAATAATTTGGACCATTTCTCTTTCTCATTTTAGACACTTAAATTTTGAATATTATTTCATTAGTCGATATAATCTAAACCACTGAGAATGAAAAATTTATTAGAATCAACTTTAGTCACCAACTTTGTCACCTTTAGTAATCAATGCTGATTGTTTAGATTAAAGTCTAATCTTGATGATGCAAAATGACCCAATGATACACAATGAACTCACAGTAAACCTCTTATCCTATGAAAGTGACATTTTAATCCTTATTGCTAATAAGTTGCTGGAATCAACTTTAATCATCAACTCTGACTAGTCTCTAGTCATAAACCTTATCGATTCAGATCTTGTCAGTTTCTTGTTACAATAATAATGCAAAATAACCCAATGATGCTTGAAGCTTACATAAGCAAAGGTTGGTTAATAACTGAATTGAGTGACTTTTCATTTCACGATAAATTTCAATGTTTATCAAGATTGACTTTTCCTATTTGCTAATTTACTTGTGCAAATGGGTTTTCACAGTAAACTTGTTATCCAAGTTACGAATGTCAACTTTTAATACTGTCATTGTTATTACCTTTGTTGATTAAACTGACAAATGGTTAAAGGTTAGCAAGATTGAGTTGAACATTGGACACTTTCATCGTTAATTAAGGGTAAATAATGAATGATAATTGTCAACAGTTTATCAAAATGTTATCATAATCACAATTGAAATAAACATCACTTGCTTCTCTCTGCTCATTATGATTCGTCTCAACACAATTAACTTAATTGTTCATTAACCTGAATGGTTAACCACAAATTAATTGTTGAAACTTGTTAACTTCAAGATGGCAAAAGGTTGGGACCAAGTCAAAGTCCAACAGCAATTAGACAATTGTTTAAATGTTAAATGTTTAATGATCATAATTGACAAATGTGATTGATTGTGATTAACTTTGACGGTTGGAAATGATTTTGGAAGCAAATGAAAACTTTTATCGATTGTAATTGAATCTCGGTTCTGTTTAAACAATTTAATCAATTGATGGTCACAATCATTAATCATTATTGATTAATAAATTCAATTGTTTGAAATGTTGGCGAAATTGTAAAAATCGAAAAAAGCGTTTAATTGTTCAACACACAATTCATTGTCACTTTCAATTGAACCAAATGAAAGTGTTGAAAGCGATAACATTTTTTATCGACGATAAATCAAAGATGAACCTTTTCGAGTAAAAAAATTCATCTTGAAATTGTTCCACTGATCAATTGATTTAATCATTTATCTGTTGAATCTGGGTTAGTTTTATCATGATTGGTAACAATTGCGATTAGAGAAAAAAAGGAAAAGCAAAAAAAAAGATTTACTCTGATAATCTGATGAAGAGGAAAGAAAAATGATGTTTTTGTTTGTCGGCATAATGATGATGAGAAGAAGATGAATGACAATGTATCAAACTTGAACTGATGATGAGTATGTAACTGATGATAGTTAACTCTCTCTCTGCTTATCTTCCCGAAGAGGAATGAGAGTGAAATGTTCATTTTTTGGCTTCTTGCTGTCAATAAGTTGAATAAACAGAAAAGCCAAAGATGCAAGATTAGCGTACAACAATTATCTCAATTACACAACAAACCAACAACTTTAAACACTTGAAGTAAACTTGTAATTCATCATAATCAGTGCTCTTTGTGAATCAACTTTAACCATTTGTTCAAGTGTATTGTTTAGGGTCAATCGCTGGGACTCTTTCACTTCTGGAAAAGGAAATCAAAATCAAATTAAATCTAATCTAACCTAATCTAACCTAAACTAGCATTAAAGTTAACCATTATTTGGCAAAACCTCAAGGATATGGATAAGGCAAACGTTGGATATTTTGCTTCTTCAAAAACTGTCTTCAATTATAATTTGATTAAAGGCTTTTGTAATCAATCGTGTGGTTAGTCAAAATGAAACAAACTTCGTTCTTGCTTGCAAAATAAATCGATCTCAATCAATCGATATTCAATTTGCATTTTCTTTTGGTTAACATTTTTCGTTCATCAATTGATTCAACTCATGCCAGTTCAATGTCATTTTTCCTCTATTTTTAGAGCCAATATTTTTGTCGACTTTTGGTAAAAATTTCATTTCGAAATATCGATTTGCTCTCAAGCTTTTCCATGCAATACCAACATCGAAGTTTCACAAAATTTATAATTTCGCATTTCGATTAGAGTATAAAACTGACTTAGCTCAATCATTTGCATCCCTGAAAATTGTGAGTTTAACCAGAAATCTTTCGAATCTTTAATAAAATTTTCCCAAAAAAATGTCCAAATTGATTTTCTGCTCACGCAAAGGAAAGTTTTGACCAAAATTGAAAAAAACAAAAATCTGAAAAAATCATTTTCCATTAGCAAAAAGCTTCGAGTTCACGCTAAAGACTCCAATAGAACCGACCAGTAGAAATAAAACTCCAAATCGATTCGAAATAAACAAATCTCGAAACATTATTATTCCTAGTTCATTGATAAAAATCAGAATAGAAATGGTTTGAAATGGCGAAGCAAAAGAAGCAAAAAATTAACCTTTTATCCCAAAGTAAAACTTGTGAACGAAAAGTCGATTAAAAGCGTCCAAAGTCTCTCAATGTCAACGGAACAAATGTTATCAACTTTTCACATTCATGAAATTATACCAACTGGATAAGATGATTTTAAGGGTGGCTAAGTGGGAGTTAATAACTGCAAAAATATCAAGTGCGTGATGAAAGTAAGAAAACAAGTTGGAAATGATTATAATAATAATCCAAGTAGATATTGTTTGCTCAATATATAAACTAATATCAATAGTTAAATGAAATATATTCAACGTTTCTTTACCCATTAGGCTAATTTGTCCAACCAATAAAAGAGTCATTTGTTTTCATATTGACAAGAATAAGTTGTACCAAGGAATAAGCAGAAAAGACGAAACAAGATGAGAGAAGACGAAGAAGAAGCAAAAGTAAAGAAAGAAATGACAATCGATTATTATAATAGTGCAATATCGATAAATAGACAGACATGTTGATAATAGAAAAGGTTGAAAAGTAAATGAAGAAAGCAAAAGGTAAAAGTAAAACTGAAAAGTAATAAGTTTTTTTCAGGTTAACTTAGAAAATTTATTCTCATTTTTATCTCTTCTTTCCTGTTCATTATCATTATTAACCATTTATATACATATTATCGTGTATTGCGTGCAAACCAGAAAACAAAAGCTCATTACAAACTCCCAGTAAAAATAAGCAAAACTCCCTTCAACTCTATTACTCTTATCATGTTGATTCATTTTCTTCTTCTTCTTTGTTTTCTCTTCTTTTTTTCAGTGAAACATATTTGACAAGTCAAGTATCATGACTTAAGTGAGATTGGCTAATATTTTTGCTTCTCGTTATTCACTCAATTTCATCTTTTCTTTATTCGAGCAATGATACCTGAGCAAGTTGTGTGCAACATTGTCAGCTTTTGACGTGATACTTGGCTATATTAGTTGTATTTGATTTCAAAAGGTAAACGATTAATGCTCGAGTTAAATTAAAATTTTCATTCCAAAGAGTCGAATGTTGACATTTCAACTTGAACTTTTACCTTTACAGTTATGTGAATATTTTTACCTCATTGGATGAATTGTTGTAATTGTTCATTTTTTGTGTTATTATTTCTTCTCATGCAATTTTCTCATAGATGAAACTCATGTCAATGATGATGGATAACAAATTGATCATTTCAGTGTTTACCTTTTACCGTTTCGTTGTCATTTGTTGACTCAATAATTGGTTTTTTTTTCAGTTTTCAAGAAATGTTCAAGTTATTATTTATTCATTTGGTGAAGTGAAAAGATGGCGAACAGTGTTGAGGATGGAAAAAGTGAAAATATCATATTTCACCGAATGGACTTGAACTTATTCTTGCCTTCAACTTTTCTCATCCCTTTTTTGCCTACTTTTTGTAAATGTTTTGCTTTACTTGAAATGTTGATGAATGGGTTTGAGATTGTTTTTGGAGTATAACCAAACAATAAGTACACTTTCATCTACACTTTGTCCTGGAAGCACAACAACACTCAACTGCACATATAATAACACTAATAATACAATACAATCTAATACAATGTACTTTTTGTTTTCTGGTTAAATAGGCAGAAGAGGAGAAGAGTGGAAGAGGAAGAGAGTGGGAATGGTTGAGAGGGAAAAGAGATTGCAAGAAGGATTGGAAAGATGAACAAGATAGATGAATGAAGATGAAGTAAAACTGTGAAAAGATTTGTTTCTCATTTTGCAAGAAAAATGAGTGAGAAACAAGAAACAAACTCAACATTTGTGATGCTTTTTTTCTTCTTCTTCACTTTTCTTCTTGTTCGTCTACGAACACATTCACCGTCAATCATTTCATTTTATCTCAATTCATTTTATTCTCTTCTCTTTTCGCCTTGTGAACATTTTCAGCTTGAAAACATTTCCAATTCAAAGTAAATGTACACTTTCAAGTTTCTTTGAATAATTTTAGGAAACAAAAGTCATTGTCCAGTCAAACTTTGAAAAATTGCTATTCGTCTTGTGTTTGCATTTCGAAACATTGGAAATGGTTCGATCTAAAAACTAATCATTTCACTTGAAGTTCGATTAGTATCGAAATTCCATTCGAAAAATTACAAGAAAATGGAGAAACAAGAAAAGCGATAAATATCAAAAACATTTGCTTCGAAAAATATTTTTGTCGAAAAATTAAATTCGTATCACCAGAGAAACTTTCATGTTAATAACGATTGCATTTTTTATGGAATCGTAATTTTAAGGGAAATCTATTTTTTCGTTGTTCGCTAAAAGGATTGAATTAGTGCGAGTTGCGAGTGGTTTGTTTTGTGGTCAAAGTAAATCTTTTTTTCTCGATTTGTTGACAAATTGAATTCGATATGATTCATTTTGTTTGGAGAAAAGTTTATCAGAATTTATTCTGAAATGTTTTTGATTTGTGAAAGCAAATGGACTTGAAGCAACTGCATTCATTAAATGCTATCCAACGAAAGTTGCAACTTTTTCTGTCTGATTGTTCATTATTGTCATTTAATATTTGGTGAAAGACAATGAACTTGAAAGTTGTGTCATTAAAATGTTATCTGAATGTGAACAAATTGAGTCTGAAAATGAAGGGAACGAAAAAATCGAAAAAGTAAAATAAAGAAACGGAAATCGCGAAACAAATAAAAATAACGTTGAAATAAAAGCATGTTTTCCTTGTTGTTACTGATGATGATGATGATAAGTGAATGGTGAAACATTTTTACATAATTGAAGTTAACGTGAAGTTGTTTGGAAAGAAGAAGAAAAAGGGAGAGAAAAAAAGCGTTTTCAGAATTACAGGGAAGTTCCATTATCAAGTGAGTTATTTAAATTGTAAACTCACTCAGAGTTTGTCTTTTGTTTGGTCTTTCCATTCTTCTCATCATTATCATCATTATCATCATGTTCATCATTCTTCCAGACCAGGCAAGGAATGGAAAGAAAATGTACAATTGATTGGGAATCATCATGAAACTGGAAAAGGAAAGGAACGAGCAAACAGAAAAGCAAAGAATAAAGTTTACGTTAAAGTTAACTTTACTGTAAACAAAACCAGAAAAGAACAAAAAAAAGGTAAAAAGACCAGAAAAGTTGGAAATTGTTTTCTTTGTTTCAATAGTAAAATATCATTATTGAGAGAGAAACTCGACTCAAGAATCAGAACAATAAAATCTGTGATATTGAACCACAGGGAAGAAAAGTTCTGATGCTAATATCAGAAGAAGAAGAAGAATCTTGAAAAATATCATTTACCTTGCTAAGTGCTTGAACGAAAATAAAAGAAAAGATTTTTTCTTCGAAAAAAAAATTCTCTAATAACTCAAACGAATGGAAACGATAAAGTTGACGTAAAAGTTCTTGATTCACCTTTCAGTGATAATTGAATGTTGTAAAAACAAATTGATTTGCATTCTTGGATAAAAACAAATGTAAAAGCAAATATAAACTTTTTTCTCATTGGAAAAGGTAAAGGTAAATACTTGACTATCGTGAGATGCAAGTTGTGCCTATTGAGCATAAAAATGAAGGTAAAGTTGAAAAGGCAAAATTGAGCAAAGCTGGTTAGACTTTTATTATTCTGAATGATGGAAGGAGAAAAAAAGGGAAATAAAAAAGAAGCATTTCTCTTTTACCTTTTTCTTCTTTTCCTTTTTTCTTCTTCTTCTTTTCTTGCAAACTCCCAGCACTCTCAACCAATCATTGCAAACATTTACATCATCATATTTCAAGGTTCATTCAAGTTATTCAATTTAAAGTCCTTGAGGCTATTAAAAAGAAAGAGTTTCAAGATTTATGATGAATTTCATCCAATTTTGCGGTTCTGCAAAACTCACCCAAATCAATGACTTTACTTGGTAATTGAAACTGTTTGAAAGTTCACTTTAATCGCTTTCAATTGTTTCCAATTGTTGACTTTGTTTTCATCCTGTTTTTTCCCTTCTAATTTGCTTTCGCTTCAATCATGGCTATTCATAAATCGATCAATGAACAAAAATGTAATGAAGACAAAAAAAAAGTTTATCCAGGAAAAAGCGCAGAAGAGAAAGGAAAGAGGAGAAAAAATTTATTATGAACCAGAATCTATTGGCATTCAGCCAATATATTATTATATCAGAATTTTGGTTAGATGATGATGAGAAGGAAGAGAATGGGAGAGATTTGTGAGTGAGAAATGGTAAAATCAATATGACCAAAGGCTATGCTTTGTCATGGAAAGTTAATTCTTTCACTTTCTTTTCGTTCCATTTTTTCTTTCTCTTTTCATCTTCGTCTTGAGCTCTTCATTTTTTTCCTCTTTTCCTTTTTTTTCTCTTTTTTTCCTCGTCTTCTTTTCTGGCTTCACTGAGATGTAACTTCCTATTTCCGGGTTTCAATCTCACTATTCTCTTTATCTCTGGTCAAGTCTTCTTTCCATTGAAATGTCATGATACATGCTATTAGAATAATGTTTCAACTTTTTTCTTCTCATTCCTTTCCATTCTTCTCCCAATTTTACGTTAATCAACAAATTGACATTTTAATATCATTTGCATGATGGTTCAGGCTAATCTTGAAATTAACTTTCATTGAGAAAAGTTTCGCAAAAAAGAATTTTTCTTTTTCTTTCAACTTCGACTTGAATTTCAATCGTTTGATAAATGCTCGGAAGATAATGGCGATGAGTGAAATTACCCTTAATTCATGGATTGTTGTTCTTGGTTAATTGCCAAACTTATTGATCTTGAAACATTCGAAGGTGTAAATGTTTATTTTGTTGTTTCAATTTTCATTCAATTAATCAAGTTAAATAGCCTTTCAATCATTTTTTCAACATCAATCAATCAGAACTCATTGATTATTGAATATTTCATTTTCCAATTTCAACCTCAATTCCATCCAACTAAACATTGGGAAAAGCCAATTCACCATTTTTGCCTTTCATCTTTCAAGATTCAACTTGTGAATATTTTTCATTATTAAATATTTGCTTCTCTACCTTTTGTTGTTCAATATTATTTATTGCTATGATAATGCACAATCATATTGTTTTAATATAAATAACTGATCTTTCAATGAAACCTTTTTATTATTCAACCTTTTTCAGGATAAAAATGAAAAGCAAAAATGTGATCCAACAAAAAAAAGAGTTTATAAATTAATATCGATCCAAGTTTGCTCACAATGGTTCCATTGATGAACAACTTGATTTTGTGTTTGCATTTTGCAGTTGATCAATTGAGACAGACTTTCGTTTTTTCAAATTAAAATCTAATTAATATCATTTGTTTGGTTGGTTAAATTTGGTAAACAATTGCATGAAAATTGTCGATAAAGAGTTGGAATTGTCTGGACATTAGTTTTGGTGAGGATTGTAACTTGTGATAAAGTTGAACTGAACAAAATTGATTCTTCAATCGATAAGAAATGATTTCTGTGACTCTCTCATCTTAACACAGAATGAGCAACTCAATTATAAATGTCTGCTATTATTTCTAGCATAGCCTAGTCTTGATCAAAAATCAGATTTCTCAAGATTTATCAAAATAATTCCATCGAATCAACCATTCGAAAATAAACTCATCCAAATTCATCGGTCCATTTCCGATGTTTCCTCGTTCGCATACCTCACAGTTCAATTGTCACAAATGGATAAAGTTTTTCACTTCACTGTCTTTACGGAGAGAAGACTATGAGACAATCAGAGCTGAACCTAAACCTAACCTCAACTGGGTTGAGCTTCACAACCAGTCCAGCCTCATTGAAACAGTCAAAAGTAGTGCTTCTACAATTGAATAAGATTAAAGATTATAATCGATATTGGAAACGATCAAATTAGTGTGAAAATAATCACAACTTTCGGCTTCTCAAATCTCATTTTTTTCAACCTACAAAAGTCAACCGTTTAACAAACAAGACAAGTGTTTTGGTCTTAAGAATCCATGTTTAGTGCTTGATGGGAGATTCTAAGACAGACTACAGCGAAAGCATTTGCCAAGAACGTTTTCATTAGTCAATAACGAAAGTTAGAGGTTCAAAGGTGATCAGATACTAGTTCTAACCATAAACGATGCTAAACAGCGATCATTCTGAGTAACTAATTTCATAACCCGAATCGAAGCTTCTGGGAAACCAAAGTTTTTGAGTTCCGAGGGAAGTATGATTGCAAAGCTGAAACTTAAAGGAATTGACGAAAGGGCATTACCAGGAGTGGAGCTTAACATGACTTAACCAGTAGTCATGTTAGCTCTAACGGCGTATCAGTCGACTTGGTTAACGAAGAGTTGAAGAAAGTTATCGGATTATTTTGCATTATTATCACGAAAAGAAACTGTTAAAATCTAAATTGATGAAAATGACGAAAAGTTAAACTTTAAGTGAAAAAGCATTTCACAAGCTATCAGGTTTTGACTCAAAGTTCATGATCTAGTCATTTTTGATTATCATTTAACCCATGGATTTAACTGATGGAAACATCGACTAAAGTTGACTTGATTATAATAAACATTCATTGAAAACGGAAATTTGTCAAATGTGCAAATTAAAGTTCATCTTTTGCAACTCTCGAAACAATTCTCGAAACTTCCAGACTGCCAACTCGACAAAAATATCGTGTTTTTAAAATTTTCCTTTCTTTCCAAAAGAATAAATTCACAAAAGAAGAAAAAAAATTTCAATTTTCCAATTTGAAGCCATCATAATGAACAGCAACATGAACCAGATTGAAAATCATCTGATAATGACATGATTAATTAAAATTCACTTGAAGCAACTCTAAAGGCAAAAGCAAAAAAGCAACAAAAAGGTCGACAAAAAAAGAGAGTGAAAAGTTGAACAAAAAGCTGGACATGTTAACATGCAATAAAATGTATAACTCGCAATAAAACACAATAAAATTATCATTACTGTTAAGGTAAACATTTGACCGAGCAAGAAGGGTGACTGAAGAAGCGCAAAACAAGAGCCAAAAAACTAACAACTTTCACTTTATCTTCAAGTACCTTTTTGATAACAAGTAAATTAACTTATGGATATCATCATTGACGCTATTTATTTATTTTTCATCATCTTCCCCTAATCATCATCTTACAACATTTTCACCGTTCAAATGGATTCTTACCTTTTCACATTAAGCTTCCTCTTGTATAATATTACAGGGGAGGAAGAGAGAGAGAAGCAGCAAAAAATATCTTATCTTTAGGGGCATCTTGATGTCTATTAATAATATCAATAGTAGCAAGTGACGAGGATGAAAATGTTAACCTGCTGTTGAAATGTTAAGGTAACAACGAACCATTTGTTACGTTGTACTTGACGATCATTTTTGGCTCAACAGTGAAAACTGTTTACTAATGTTTCCTCAACTGATTAACCTTCAACAACAACTAGAGTCGAGCAACAACACACAAAACGTAAAAGATAAACAGAAACACTAAGAAATGATAATAACAGTGAACCTCGAAATAATACCTTTAGGCTTTATTAGTCTTTCCCATTGTTTGTTCAACCTTTTCCTCTGTTCGTATTATTGGCCTCTTTTTCGCGGTCCAAAGCCTTGTTTCATATTTCACTTTGACTTATTAATTTACCTTTTACTCACTTTCCTTGTTTACTTTTCTTCCAGTTCCAAACCTTGATTATCATCATTATCAACTTAATTAATCTCAACCAGATAATTGTTCATTGCTCACTTATCAGTCTTAATTTGTGCTCTTGGTGTGAATAAGGAATGAACTGGTTTCAACGAGATATTATTTACAAGTTTCAAGTTGTTCGATATTCACTTTGATACCAAAGTGTCAAGAAAATGACTTCAAATTATTCTGTGATTTTCATTTACGACTCAATTTTTGCTGGCAAGTTGCAAGTCATCGAAAGAGG